TATTTAATATTTATTTTTTAAATATTTTATTAATCTCTTGAGTGTACTAATTGAATGTGTTTAAAATATTATTTCTTTTTATTACAGTGATTACATTACATTTTTTCTTATTTCTTGCAGGACGCGGCTTGGGGAGAGGATGGTCAGCATGAGCTCCATGCTCGTAGAGACAGTCAGTATAAATTATGAAGATTTTAATGAGAGTTTTTTAACATGCGGCACCTGTCTCTGCGTTTACGATGGCAGCGAGCATACACCTAAATTATTACCATGTTCACACACGGTATGATATGTAAAATAGAATTTAATTTATACATCTACATAGCATATGTAATTTGTACTTATATGTGTGATAATCTCATATCTGTTTGTTGTAGGTATGTCTACATTGTTTAACAAGGATTGCTGCATCTCAAACACGAGAGACAGGAGCATTTAGATGTCCCATTTGTAGAGAATTAATAACAATTCCTCGCGGAGGGGTACCTGCACTGCCCCCGAGCTTTCTCGTAAACCAATTATTGGACCTTATGTCTCGACAAAGACGAGAGGTATAGTTGACTGAAACATTATAAGTTTTCTCTTTTGAATAAAATTTTAATATTATTACATCTTATTCTCTATTGCAGGTCATCCCAAAGTGTTCAGTCCATATAAATCAGGAATTATTATTTTGTGAAACATGTGATACAGTATTCTGTACAGTATGTACTAGTGGAACACACGCAGGAACGTCACCCGGATGTACAGAACACACAATCATCCCCTTTAGTATCGCGATAAAAAGGATGTCCGAGATACTGCTTTATAAAGCTAATGAGTGTATATCCAAGGTGAAAACTAGTTTCTCTTTTTAATCCTTAAGTATTATATTTGTGGCTCGCGCGCGATTTTATTACATTCTATGTTCACCAACACAAAGTGTATGTGTAATTAATATCTAAATTATTACGTTGAATATATAAAAAGACCATATTTATGTTTGTAAAAGGATATCTCGCTTATTTCTCGCTATAGCTCTCAATATTCAATCTATCTTAACTATAACTTTATAATAAACTATAACTATAGTGAAATAATACTGTCAAAATTTCATGGCATCATGCCATCGTGAGCAAGATGCTTACAAATTAACTAAGCAATGGAGGATTATCATCATATTGTAACATGAAATGTAGTTTAACTATTATTGAATTAAGAGTTACATCTTTTAGTTAACACAGGCACAAGACTCTGTAAGCACGGAACTGCAGCGTTTGGAGGCCTCTACGGAAAGATGTCTAAACGCGGTAGATACCGAATTCGCAGATATCATTGCGAAAATAGAGAAACGGCGAATGGAATTGCAAGTTGCCGTAAACGCCGCTGCTCGTGACAAGAAACACGTACTCGAAGAACAGCATTCTCTTATCGAGGCGGAGAAAAGCAAGGTGGAGAGAGAATGCGATGGATTGCAATATCAGGTAAAGGATGAAAACGCTTTAATATAGTGTCATCTCTCGCGCATATCGCTTTACAATAATGAAATTCGATTTTAAAGGTCGAAGTTCGGAATATTACTCAACGTATTAACAGCCTATCAGATCAGCTTGACGCGGCGACCGCTCTCAGCGAACCTAAGGAAAATGCTTTCATCACGTTCGAGTTTAATCATAACGATGCTCTCTCCCAATTGGAGCAAGCACTAAGCAACTTAGGACGAGTACGTTCTAGTACAACATTGCCAGGTATTCTGAGAATTGATAATATAGTAAAGTATTCGCTTTAAAATATTCGTTCATTAAAACGCATCATATTTCACACTGATGCTATGTAAAATAATAAAAAAAATTAAATTTTCTGATCTATTATTGTTACAATGTCCAAGATGAAAAGTCACGCAAAATTAATTTTCTATATTTATGCATTCCAGCGTTAGGTTT